AAACATGCAAATGTGAATAGATCACTTGGTACCACTTCTGCAGGAAGGTAACAGTGCTCCATGCAGTCATGCTAGCCACATGACTTTGGAGGTGTCTATGGACAACACCAGCTCTTCGTCCTAGAAAAAATGGAGATGACCACCATCCCCCAAAAGCAGACATCACTAGACTTAATGTCAGGGGAAACCATTACCTTTAACCTATTGACTTATAGTGACACCAGGGGTGTCATATGGTTTTCTTAAGCAAGGAATACACAGAGGTAGTTTGCCATTTCTTTCCTCTGGAATAATAATTTAATATTCAGCAATGTTTCCCTTCAGAAAACTTAACATTTAAATACATGCAGAAAAATTACAACATCATCCCGATCTTGATACATATGCATCCTTGCTTATATGAGAGTAAAGTAATGCATTCAAATTAATATAGGGAGTTGCATTGTGGGCAGTGGACCATTTTTCACCCTATGCCTATTCATGGGATAAATTTTGATACCTGGCCAAAAGTATGACTGAGTTGCTAGAAGTTTACTCACAATCAGAACATCCTGGATTTTTATCTGATTTCTGCTATTATTATTATTTTTTGTGGGCTGTGGGATGTAGAATTTTAAAAATGGTTACACTTTAGTGTCTTGTCAATGGGTTTTTCCACTCTTGGAAGGATGCTTTGTTTTCTTTTTTACAAAACTGAATAAGCCCTTGAGCTTCGGTGAGTGGAATCAGAGTTGGCTTGGGTCTACAAAAAGAGATAAGGAGGCTACATGATTGCCCCAAACTTGCATTAAATGTCTTTTTGCTGTAGTTGTAACAAACAAACACAAGACAGATAAGTTGTGGGGTTACGTTTGACAAAATGTCATGACTTCTTGCTATTATTTGAGTAGTTTAGTGAAACAAACAAACTAAAGTATACTTGCCTATGGTTGTCTGGTAGAAGTTGGTAAAAATCCTCAAATATTGTAGATGAAATAAATACTGATTTGTAGTTACTATAAGTACCAAAATGAGTTGGCACAGATACTGTGCCAACTCATTTTGGTTTACCTGTCCGACCGAACGCATCTCTTCCTATGAACCATCTAGATGTTTAAGATCTTCCGGAGAGGCCCTGCTCTCGGTCCTGCCTTCTTCACAGATCCGGTTGGTGGGAACGAGAGACAGGGCCTTCTCAGCGGTGGCCCCTTGGCTATGGAACACCCTCCCTAGGGACATTAGATTGGCCTCCTCTCTCCTGACATTTTTTTTTAAAAAAACTAAAACCTGGCTATTCGAGCAGGCATTTGCAGATGCAGTATAACATTTGCATATGCAGATTGATTGAGACTCATGGAATGACAAGACGATGCGACGGAAAATGATTTTTTAAAGATGAGATGCTGAGATTTGTATTTATGCTTTTAATTGTTAATTGTTTATTGTTTTATATGGTTATTTTATATGTAATTGATTATATTTTTATCTTGTAGGGCATTGATTGCCAAATGTAAACCGCCTTGAGTCACCTTCGGGCTGAGAGGGGTGGTATACAAATATAATAAATAAATAAATAAATAAATACTTGTCCAATAAAATTAAAAGGCAATATTATAGTTCAAGTTTAAGCATAGCAATCTTTTAATGTTTATTCAGCTTCACAATAGTTACATGCAAAGAATGTCCAATGTTGTTTTATACACAACATCTAGACAAACTGCACAAATACTTCCCATTTTTGACACTAATAGTATAATACAGTATAATATATTCTAAGCTGTATTTTGCCCAGCCCTGTATTTTATCTGCATTTGCCTGAGACACGTAACCATATTTTATAAACATTTCCTACATATTTTTCACACATTTTGTAAATAAGCATCCAGAATAAAAACTGTAGGGAGGTAGTACAGAGGCAGAGAGAGTTTGCTCTTGATCATTGAATTTGATTTCACAGAAGGTAAATTCTATCAATCATCTTGTCCTTTGCTGTCAAGAAAACAGCTTCTAGTTTAATTCTATAAAGCAGGTAATAATAACATGGGCAAAGAGTCAAAGCAGATCAATTAAATTAACAGCCAAAAAGAAGAAATATATCCATTGTGGATTTCACATTTAAAAAATCCTTGGAAGTCAAACAGTATGTGCACTACCCTTGGCGTTATATATATATAAAAGTAAAGAAAAATATAGATGGGGTGGAATGAAAAGCTCAGTCATTTATTATTCTGTGCCAATTCATGCCAGTTGCACAAACACAGTGCCTACAATCAACCTAAAATTATTGTTGTGTTACATCCATTAATTTCAATAGGACTTGGATGGATTATTCTTAAAATACCATTTAAATGAATAAAGACAGCAATTCTTTGAGGTCCAAATTGTACAAACCGACCTGTCCTTGGGTGTGGATGGACAGTCTAAAGTTAATGGTGTTATGCATATTTCTTTTTCTTAAAGTCATAGAATCATAAAGTTGGATAAGACCAATAGGGCCAGCAGTCCAACCCCCTTCTTTTTCTTTTCTTCTTTCTTTCTTTATTAAGAAATCACAAAAATGCAATTCCAGGCTTGGATGGCCCCCCTCTGGAAAGTCTCTGGAGCTTTTTGACATTTTGTAATATTTTCGTTTACTTACAGCAGAGGTGGGAAAGTGTAGCACACAAAGTTGTGTCTGTGGCTTCCTCTGAGAACTCTGAACTTCTTCCTAAAATACCCTCCTAAGGCAGGGGTCTCCAAACTAAGGCCTGCAGCTTGAATGCAGCCCTCCAAGGTAATTTATCCAGTCCCTGTCCTAAACTTTGGACACAACAACACCCTAATTAACTTGAATATCTCAGCCAAAAGCAGGCCCACACTTCTCATTGAAATACTGGTAAGTTCGTGTTTTTTAAAATTATTCTTCAATTTAAATATTTATTGTTCTTCCTTTTTTTTGCATTGTGCAATGCATAAGAATTTGGCTATGTCCTTTTCCAAACTATAATCTGACCCCCAACATTTTGAGGGACCATGAATTGGCCCTCTGCTTAAAAGGTTTGAGTATCCCAGCCCTAAGTCATTTATGAGTTACTTTCCTAGAGTGCTCCTGGGCTTAAATTGCCTAGAAACGGTCAAAAACATGGAGAAACTATCCCCATTTCCTCTTGGCCATAGGAGCAATGGGAAACAGGAATTAAAATAAGTAGACCATAAGTAGAAAGGGTTGCTAGGTCTCAGCCCTGGCCTGCATCTCCAATTCTCATGGGACATGGAACATCCCCTGGAAGGGAATGAACATGCAGTTTATTCCATTTTGGTAAGCTTGGGTCCTCCAAAGAGGAAAGGGCTGGTTGCAAATCTCCAACACAGCCACCAGGGAAGTATCTTGCTACAATCTGAAAATATTAACTGACTTGTTGCAGCAAGTTACTATTTTGGGACACTGTCTATGTATTTGCTTAATTAAGGATCTTATCCCATGTGTGCATATGAAGACTGACTATTCACATTGGGACTTTAGTTCATTAATTGAGGACAGCCAGTTTTATCTGCAGGTATTTCTGCATTTTATAAATTTTAACAATTTTTTACTTTGTGAAGTAATGTGAATTTCATTATGGGTGTCACTATTGGTGCAGTGGGTTAAACTGCTGAGCTGCTGAGCTTGTTGACTGAAAGGTCACAGGTTTAAATCCTCTCACTATGTTTCTTCTCAGTATGAGAAGAAATAATCATCTCATTTCATTTTGATTTGGGAACAGCCCCTTTGGCCAAAAGGGCTTTCTTGATTTTCAAATTATGTTATCTCTCTTTCTCTGTGTGTTCATGTTTGAATGACAGACTGTGAACAGCTGTGCTCAATGCATATAACTTATTGACATTGCACGGGGTCATCCTTAGTTCTGGAAGCCTCAGGATCTAGAACAGGCATGGGCAAATATTTTAAAAAGGGGGTTGCATGCTGGACCAGGCCTGGGTGGGTGGGATGGGCCAGGAAGGAAGGCAGGGGAAACTTGATGTGATGGGAGAGGCCGGGGGGGCAGTTGATGTGGGCAGGGGGGCAAGGGGGTGTAACGATCAGCCGAAGCTCTAAGGAATAATACTTCTAATATATTCCCTAGCACACACACTCTCACGTTCCTTCGGCTGTTATATTGCCCACAGCTGTTCACCAATGTAAACTGGACTGAATGACCCGTTCGGCCGTTGGTACCAATTTGAAGGAACAGAGTAGAGGACTTTGTTTTCTTAGACTCCAACTGGACGCCTGTCACAAAGCTCGATGTGAATTGAAGAATTACTGCCACCACTCAAATAGACTTTGAGAATTTAACTTGATGTTATGTCTGAGGTAAAGCTTGGTGTGCCCTAGCCCTTCCTTTAACTCCCCCTAAAGTGTCTGAGGCGAAAAGATGTTAGACATTTCTGGAACAGGCTTAATGGAATGAATCAATGTAAAGTTGAACTAGAACAAAGTTTATTTATAATTACTAGAACAAACAACTGGATTCTTCTTTGAGTTACAAAAGCATATATGGTTAGCACAGCACAATCTTCTTGAACCGTTCCTAAGTCCTAACAAGCTTACTGAACTTCCCAACTGGGTATCTGTTCTTCGATGTGAGCCAATTCCCCCTGACAGACTAAAACCTATCTGTCTCCTCRGCGTATCTAGATCCCACTAGAATACTCTGTCCTTTAGAGAGTACAGAGAACCAGTGTGTTCTTCTCCCACACCAGTTCACAGGCGGCTATTGACCCTTCAGGCCACTCTATAGCCCCACCTGCCTTTCAAACACTCTCCCTCAGGAAATCTTCAGCTTACTCGAAAACTACCCTCTCCCTGTAGCTTGAAATCCCATCTCTCTCTCTGRTCTTAAAACCCTTCTTTCTGTGATGTTAAAATCCCTTCTCTCCCTGATGTAAAATCCCTTCTCTCTCTGTGACAGAAGCTGCCTGCCTTTTTACACTGACAGCTCCAGCTCCTCCCATCTGTCCTAGCCAATCCTGGCATAGCTAAACTCCTCCCCTCTGCTGATCTGACTTGCATTTCCCTCACTAAGATGGAGGCCGGCTCACTGTCTCTRAAGGCTGCGGCCTAATCAGAAAGGTATGAGTCCATTACAAGGGGCTTTCAGGAGAGATTGAGAGGATTATTAAAGGGACAGGAAAAGGGAGGCTTTAAACAGCAAGAGGCTATCTAGACTGAACCCCACAGAACTATACATACAATGCTAATCCCCTCTAACTAAAAAGGGGCTGAAATGGGGGTAAATAGTGAGAGTCTTTGTGGAGGCATGACACACCTATTCTTCATGATTCCTAGAGGTAATCCTAGAGGTATGTTGTTCTTCATTGTCCCCTGCATGACAAAGTAGCTCCCTAAACACTTGAGTTGATCCCTGCAATTCTTTTTTTCCCCTAGGGGATGACTACAGTATCAGATAAATTCTTGGGGGAGGGGGGGGCTGTGTTCCCGCAACAGATGGGCAGTGATCAGATCAAAAATACCTCCATATTTTATCTGGAAGCTCTGAATTGGATCATGATAGGATGGAGTTGGCAAATAGACATATGTCATAGGAAAGGTGGTGCAATCCAGGGGGCCTGAAAAGGACCTCAAAGGACCAGATTTGGCTCTAGGGACTGAGCTTTATGTTTGGATTCATTATACAGGTTGAGCATAAGCTGGGGAGCAGAGTAAACATTTTCACTAACATCATAAATTCACTGCTCTCATATCCCTGAAAGTGACATCTAGGACTCTCAAATTGGTCTTAGCTTACAAACTCTTCTCTTTGTGTCTCTGCGTCATTCTCAGCATCTCCCATTTTTTCTTCATAGACCTGGCTACACTCCAACATCTTTTACTAAGAGGATGTCATGAGACAAAAGGATGCTTTCTGCCCAAAAATAACTGTCATCTTCAAAAGGAATCTCCAGCTATTTCAGTGTGGCTGTTTATATGTAATTTTCCTGACAAAGGAGAAGACTTTGCCAATGAGTCAGCTCGTTTTGGCTCTATTAAATCCCGCCCCCAACTCATCTATCTTGCAGTAGTATTGCTGTTTGCAAACAGAGTGCAGACATATCTATCTATCTATCTATCTATCATCTATCATCTATCTATAATGAAAATATTTAAGTATGTATGTATCTATGTATATATCTATCAATGTCTGTAGGTGATTTCTGAGATAGCCCCAACTTCCAGAGAGCACTGTGACTCCCACTGATCTGGACCAAACTTGGCACAAAGACCCCCCTCCCCCAAAACCCAAAGTATATACTGGAGTCTGGAGTGGTTTGAGTGGGATTGACCCTGGATTTGGGGAGTTATAGTTCACCCACATCCAGAGAGCACTCTGAATGCAACCAACGATCGATTTGGACCACATGTGGCACGCATACTCAACATGGCCAACACTGAATACTGGCTGGAATTGAAAGGAACTGACTTTGGATTCTGGGAATTGTAGTTCACCCACAATCAAAGAGCACTGTGACCCCAACTGACAATGGATCTGCACCAAATTTGACATGCATACCCAACATGGCCAACTTTAAATGCTTGTAGGACTTAGGGAGAATTGGCCCACAAGTTTGGAGTTGTAATTGACTCACAATCAAAGAGCACTGTGAATCCAAACCATAGTGGATCTGGACCAAACCTGGCACACACACGCAAGATGTTGACATTCGAATATAGGTGCGGTTTGGGGAAAACTGACCCACATTGTTAAGAATTGTAGTTCATCCACATAATTATGGTTTTTCTAATGGGATCATTCATAAAATCGAAAAACAAACAACGACTGCTTCTATTGTTTCTCATTACAAATGATCTAATCTAGGCATTGCTAAGTACCTAAGATAGTATATAATAATAAAAGTGAAAATATAAATATATGTATCTTCTATCTATGTCTCTATCTATATTTGTGGGTGATTTCCAAGATGGCTCCCACTTCTAGAGAGCTGTATGATTCCCACCAAACTTGTCACACCAAATGACTCCCAATGACCCACAGAAAATACTGGAAAAGTTTGGGGGGTGGGATGGATTTGACCCATGATGTTGGGAGCTGTAGTTAATCGACAATCAAGGAACACTCTGAACCCAACCAATGATGGATCTCGACCAAACTCAGCATACACACTCACATGACCAACTTTTAAAACTGGCAGGTTTATTTGGGAGGGGGGAGCCACAATGTTGGGAGCTGTAGTTCGCCCACAATCAAAGAGTATTATGAACCCAACTAACAACTGATCTGGACCAAACTCGGTACAAATAATTATCATGACCAACTTTAACTACAATGTTTTTCTTATAAATAAGAAAAAGAAAAAACCCAAACTGGACATTACCGGGTACCTAAGCCAGTTTGAAATAAAAAGAAGGTCCTGGGCAGAATGTCCATATGTATACAGCATCTTTTCTATATCAAGTTGGCACCCAACCATTTCTGAATATAATTATGTGTCTATATATTCATCAAGAAAATTATTGTGGCTTTATGTTGGGCAGAACAAAAGGGTGCTCTTTTTTTTTACATTTTTAGATATATATATTTGTGTGTAGAATTCTAAAGTCTTTACAGATGTCATAATGTTGTTATGCTAATCCTTACATTTCAAGGGTTATGCCACTTGATGGGTGAAAAAAAGTTTAAAGATTGATTGCTGACTAATTTCAAAAATAGGAAAACAATTGATGCTTCCCTTTGGATGGATGTGCAAAGATGTACATGTACACACTATAGATCAACATCTATCTTTCAGGCAAGCCCTGAAGCTGCATGACATCAAGACTTTAAAAACATGAGGTCAAGCAATTCATGTCAGGTCACCCAGCCAGTGAATTCCACAGAATATATTATGAATCCACACCGAGACCTTTCTGGAGACTGGCTGTCACTATTGAACAACTGCACTCTCCCTTAACTAATTCCAATGCAAAAGACCCTTCAGAATAAATATAGAGAACTCATTATGAACCAAACAGAAGGATTCAAACATAATCCACAAATCTGTATCCAACCTTCCCCCTTGGAGCTACATGTAGATAATATGTGTATTAAATCAAACAATATAAGAGCCATAAAATATGCAACACACTCAAAGTTGTTTTACTATACTATTCCTAAAATCCACTCCTCTATAATATTCATTTTTGTTTTAAAATATGAAAAAACTGGGTCAACAGACCCAATACAATGCACATCTCTGGTTTATTTGTTACTTGGAGCCTCTGCATGATATGCTACAGAGATTTGTTTTGCCCCCCCCCCCCCCCAGATGTTGCTTTTTTCACCATGGCCATGCTGGCTAGATTAGATGAGGACTGCAATTGGATAACAGCTAGTGAGCTGTTATCTGAAACAGGCATGTCACTCATCTATACCATAAAATAATGTAATATACAAGGTGTAACATGTTCACAAGATGGCAAGATTAGATGAGCACTGTTCATGTTCAGTATGGAAAAAGAGAAGATTGAGAGGAGCTACAACAGCTATCTTTAAATATCTGAAGGACTGTAAAATGAGACACAAAACAATCTTGCTTTCTTTGCTATTTCAGAGGATACAACTGAAACCAGTGGATCATAATTACAGGAAAGGAGATTCCATTAAATATTAGGAAGTACCACCAGATGGTAAGAGCTGTCTACGCATGTAAGGACCACTTTAAAAAGTAAAGGGATCTTCTTTGTTGGAAGTTTTTAAACACATGGCAGGGATGTTTTTGCTATAGATTCCTGCATTAGTAAGGATTTGGACTAAGAGACACTTGGGATTTGTTCCAGTTCTCCAATTCTATGACTGGCCCCTTTATGAAAATACCCATCTTGTATTTTCTCACTACTATATCTTTTTCAGTGACAAAAATTGCACAAATAGGCCTGCATGTGTTTGGAAATCTACATAAAGGCTTCAGCCCATATTTTTTACAGTGATGTGGAATACATAAAGGTCCCATGGGATGCATCAAACAGACAATGGTCTTCCTCAGTATCTCACATAAATTAGAATTGCATTGGTATCCAGGGAACAATGCTCATTACGTAGGTTAAGTCATAAATTTCCTCCCAAGTTTCCAGAAGAGATCCATTGTCATAAGAGCAGCCCCTCAAGAGAACAGATGGACAATCTTCTAAGCCAGCATGGGTCTTTATTTTTTAATCAATATGATAATTTTGCCTCAGTAAAACCTTGTTAGTATTGTTAGGAATCTCTGCAGATCTGTTCTCTCCCTTCTGAAATGCAAAGGTATTTCCTGGCATCTGTTCTGAATTTGTTTTTCTTCCATTACTGTTTGTGCTCTTTTCTTTATATAGTGCATCGAAGTACTTGGCTATTCACAGTACTGTGCTCAGATTTCTGCCTCCCAAGAGATCCCGGTTTTGAATGGTAACTGTCACACTCCTCATTTTTTGGTCATAGCTGACATATATCATTTGGAATATACAATGGTTTGCATACAAAAATAGGTAAGTCATGTATTTATGACTAAAGCAACAAAAGAACCCTGAGAAGGCAAAGAGTTTTAACAAAAACTTCACGAAGGCAAACAGCTATCAAACAGTGGAGGAGTATGGTTATTCTGATGAAAGTTAAGAATTAAAATTTTCTGATTATTTTGAAAAGTTGACTGCCTCATAGCATCTTTAAAACATTGTTATTGTTGTGTGCCTTCAAATCATTTCCGACTTATAGTGATGATATCACATGGTTTTCTTGGTTCAGAGAAGATTTGTCTTTGCCTTCCTACTGCATAGTCAGTACTTCCCCCCTTCATCCACTCATTTCCTTTTTATTTAATTTAACCTACTGTAACTGTGCATTTGCAGTTTATTCCTGGAGCTATTAAGGTTTCTCTATGGTGGATAAACAATCCATCATATACTGCTGAGATATGTTGGAGAAAGTCACTGCATGTGTACAGCTACATTCATGCACACGCTAACAGAGTTGATTTATTAACTAGGATTACCTTTAGAATTGATATTTTTAATTGTGAAGTGGTGCGCTGGAGTCAAATTGTCATCAATTGGACCCCTTGTAGTTCTGCTCACCCTAGCATCCCCAAACAAGATTTGGCACTGATAACTACATCACACCCTGACAGTATAAACAAATATGTATAAGATTGGGATTTGCAATATCCTTATTTACCACATTATCTACATTATCCACATTTATTATGAAGAGATTTATATGTACATGGCAATGCAGGACTGCATTACTGTACAGCCATGAAAGCATGCAGTAACAAAATATAAAATAGCAGACTTTTGCAAAATCTTGAAATTGCACAGTTCTTCTGGTCAATAGGGCATGGTCTAAGAAGGGCAAATCATGGTTTGGGAGCAATGGTCTACAAGACGATGCAGAAAGCACATAGTGCATTCTGTTTTTACAGAGAGCTATTAGGGCTAGTGTTCCAGCTTTTTTGATAATAGGTTTGTGACACTATTAGACCATGGTGTGATAATCTCCCCAGAAACTAGATTAGTCCAGTATTTTCTGTAATTTTCAAGGTAACATTTTTTTAAAAAAACCTGTATTTCAAAGTAGTACACAAAACATGTTAAATACATATACTGAAACAAATCTTAGAAACAAATCAGGATACCATATTTCATCACATAATAGTGGCACTTCCCCAAGCCAAGGGAACTCCCGTAGCTTCAAAACCATCCATGCCTGCCAGTGAGAGTTACAAGGCCTCCCTTGGCTGCTACCAGCCTAGTGAGGCCTCATAGCTCACTAGGTGTGTGGTTGGGTGAAGGCTCACTTGCCTTATTGCCTTTCCCCTCTGAGCTCCAGAGGGCTGCCTCCATAAAGAAGAGGAAATTGGGTGGGTGTTGCCCCATTGCATAACAATCACAACAGTGAACTAAGGGTACAACTATTATGTGAGGAATGTTAAAAAACCAAAACAGGCCCTCTGAAAAGTGGGGTGCGACTATTATGTGATGAAATACAAGTAATTCACCAGTCAAAAGTCTGTAACAAGGTCAAAAGCAACACAAGCATCCCAACTGCTTCCCAAATGCTGACCAAAATATAGTAAGTGATCATTTCTTCCTATTATTGTACACTTGTTATATGAAATAAATCCACAAACGGTGAGGCTGGAGGGAGGCCAGCCCTACCATAAAGTAGTAGTAGATAAGTGGAAAGAAACAAACTAACATAATAGAGACACTTGCTGCCTTTTGCAACAGAGAGCTACCTATGTCAACCCCCCCCCCCCCCCAAAGTATAGGTTGGGTACTAAACATTTTTATCTGGGTTTGCAATCAGTTGTCTTTTCTTGTTCCACAAGACCAAAGGTCTTATCATGGATAGAATCTAGCCTGGTAAGAATAAGACAACATGCTTTCTTGGGCTGTTCTTTTATACTCATCTTTTTATGCTAGATAGGCCAAAATTATGACCTCTTCAATGGCCTTGCTAGACATCACATAACATGAAAGCACTTCTTTGATCACCTTCCTTTTTTCTCAAGTCTGTCTCAGATGCCTGGCATGTATTCTCCTTATAAATCTGTATTTACACATTCTCCAAATGCTTCTACTAATGCCAGTGTTGGTGTTACCTATTACAGGGATGTAGACTACTTTTAATGACACTTCCTTCCACTGGCTAGAAAGGAGTTGATGCTAAAGGTTTCCTTCATGTGGTATGTATGGAGGAACACTGCTCTGCCCTGTGGGGATTATGGAGGCAGGAGTCTGGGTTGGTTCCTAGAGATAGAATGTTCTTGCAGACTCTTGTCTCCTTTTTTTTTCTTTTTTGCAACGGGCACACTGAAGAAAGAAAAGCTTTAGTATATTTTCTGACTAATATGTCATTGTCTTTGTCTTTCCAACTATCTCTGGCTAAGGAACATGGAGCAGTAGATTAAATTTCATTAAATTCTGTGTCATATTGGGGAACACAACATATTCCCACATATAGAAGTGAATTGCTTTAGCTCCTGGGGTAAGATAGAGAAAATGCATTGACATATCATGCTTTGCACTATTCCTGAACCCTACTTGATAGACAATCCTCAATTGGAAATGACATAGGTTTTAAAACTTCCGCTACAAAATGTGAAAGATCCATGACATCTCTGCTTACCCTATGTTTGATCATGGAAGTTTCCAGCAGTTCCATCCCATTACTGCTTTCCTTATGAGATCTGACAAGACCACTGCTTGAGGTGGCTTTGCTATAATTGTATGTACCATAACTCAGTGCATTCTGAAACTGTATTTGCTGAGCAATGAAGAATCACCTTCATTATTGAAAGCAAGGTTCAGTTAACACTATGTCAGGTGAGATATACTCTCATCCACACAACTGAAAATGTAGACAGCAATTTTGTTTGTCCTAAGGCACAGCCAAGTTGAATTATGAGTAAATGTCTCCTCTATTCCATTTCCACATGGCAAATCAATTTCTTCCTATAACATGCACCAAAATTATATCATTTTCCTTCCCAACATATAGAAAACAGTGTTCCTATACTATACTGATATAGATTATGTATTGGTTCTCGTAGTCACATATTCTGCATCCATGGATTCAATTATCTATGGCATTAAAATCCCCCCCCCCCCAAAGCAAGTATTGGTTATGCCAATTGATATACAGGTTACCAATTTACTATCCAATTGTACGTAATGAGACTTGAGCACCCATGGATTTTGGTATCCATGGGGGGAGGGTCTTGGAATCAAATCCATGGGCCCAATATATTATTTAATATCCCACCTTTCTACCAGTGCTGTTACTGGATTGTTGAATTGGGTCTAGGGAGTGAACAGAACAGAACTGCTGTGATTCTGCCAACTAGACCCTAGCAACACAAGGCATGTACTACTCATCACCTTCTTTAAACTTTCTCTGGAAAATGGGCCAGGCTCCTAATAGCTGCACCATAGTGTTGTTGCAGGGACTGTCCCAACATGCAACAAAGTAGGTCTTCTGTGTCAGTTATCCTAATGCTTAAATATGTATCTTCTGAAGAGAGAAACCTACACATTTCAAAAGAATATGTGTGACAGAAATTCAACACATTCAGTATCCTGGCTGTCAGATTTCTTCCACACCTCAGCTTCAAAACATGTAATCTTTTGAATTTCTCACCTCCCTTCCCCACTGTTGAACTTCATATAATGGCACAATTTCATCTCTAAGATTTTTCATAATAATAAAACATAACATATTTTAGCAGATACATCCACTCTATCTCTTCTATTTTTATTATACTTGTTATAGGTAGATGGGACCTGGAAGGATGGGACCAAAATTTGTTCTTGTTTATCTGGCTCAGTAGTACATGGACTGTAATGGAGATCATTCAATAAAAGGAAGCTGTAAGTTGTTTGTGTTGTCTGTCTATGAATTGAGCAGAAGTTTATTGCAATTGTTCAGAAATCTGAATAATTGGAAAGATCATTTTTTCATACATTTGGGAGTGAACATTATAAATGGCAGATGACACTCTGCACTTATCTTACCATTTTTATAAGAACATTTCTTTATTCACCACCACCACCCCCCCCAATACACACACACACACACACACACAAATCTGACCTCCGGCTTTCACAGAAAAATGACAGTTGCCAATTCAGTGGTTAACTGAATGGCCAATTCAGTTGTCTTTCAGGTGGAAAATGTATAAAATTGTTTGGTAAGACCTACATCAAGGATAAAGGAAGTTTGACTTCTAAATATTTTGGTCAGCAACCTCTATCAAATCTATCTAGAGTAGCTATAGTTCAAGTTCACTTTATTACGGTCAATGACCAGCTCATGAGAAACAAACACATCAGGAGTATAGGACTATAGAAACTGAAATTGAAAACAATGGGTTCATCAACTTTGATCATCATGGTGTTGAGCTTTCTGCATTGCTGCTATACTTCATGAAGAATAGTAAATATATGTTAATGTAAGATGTAATACTTTAGATCACATCGGATGCCCAATCAATATTGGCCACTGTAGGCTGTATTTCAGAGGAAGGAATTGACATTCAGCACCCTCCCCCCCCCCCGAGTATTTTTTGCCTAAGAGAACTGCATGAAATTAATGGCATTACCATTAGTTGCCAAGCAACTTGGGGACACACAGAGGCAGGCAGGACTGGATTAACACCTCCTACATATATATAATTCAAAATATAAACAATAAACCTTAAACTACAATTTGATCTTTTGAAATGAAATGAAACTTGTAGTAAGATATTTATATGCTTCCACTTTATTTATATTTGAAAAGCATTCTTCTACTTTTTCTAATTGCAAAGTTTTCTATTGTGAAAGCCTCTTTTTATGGAATATATGAGATGCGGGGTAGAATTGGCTGCATGTTCCACTTCGCTGTCCTTTTAAGCACGGAGCCTGCCATCTCCCATTACATAACACACTACTACTTCTGGTGGGGCTCCATGCTTAAAGGGGTGGCGACGTGAAGCATGCAGCAGTGATGGCAACACAAGAGATTCCCCATGTTGTCTTGGGTCAATAGAGGGAAGTCAGATGCTTCCCCATGTGAGATTACCCTGCCAGTAAGCTGGGTGATGTGGGGCATGGGGCAACAGGTTCCCTGCACCCCCAACAGCAGTTGCTGGATTCACCAAAATACATGGCAATTCCAGCAGCCAGTGTGAAGAGGTCCTTGACTCAGTGGCACCATTTGCAGTTTTGCACCATATGGTCCATGGTAAATCTGGCAAAGGAAAATGTATGTGTTGCTCTCCTTCCCTTGATGAGCATGTGCTCATTTTATTTATTTATTTACTTCATTTATATACTGCTTTTCTCACCACAGGGGGATTCAAAGTGGTTTCTAACATATTCAAGGCAAAATTTGAAAACCTAACATAAAGCAACAATAACATAAAACTATCAATCCAATCATAAAACATAACAACTTTTGAACGTTAAAATGGAGTTAAACATATAATATAAACATTAAAATCACACAATCCAAAAGCATAGTCCAGGCCATTCCAATATCAGATAACAATTGCACATAATTAAATTAATGATTTAATTTTATTTTAATATTGATTTTGAACTCTATTGTACTTACTTTAATTTGTTAATAGGATATGTCAATTTGAGATATAAACCTGCCCCCCCTGTTGAAAATTTTAATGTTAAAGGAGTTGTAGCACACAAATGGCCCTGACAAGCCAGTCTATATTCAAGAAGTGCCATTCAGCTCAATAAAAGTGTGTTAACGTATCACAAGGATCTCAGGATATGACCTTGAATATGTTCAGAAAACTTGACAATGTAAATAAATTATTAAGTAAAAAGAATAAGAATCTTTCTTTTTGTGAAATCTCACAAGCTTTTTTACCCCAAAGATTATAGGAAGACATCAAGAGTGACAGAAAACAGAGCCAGTTTGCTGAGAAAAGCTATTTCCTGATGTGACATTTGTCTTCTCAAAATAACTTTCTTAAGGAAAACATTTACCATAACAGTTCTTCTGGCGACCTTCTGAACACAATCAAAACACTGACAAGAGCTATACACATCAGTGATGGAATGGAAGGATTGCTGTCAAGCAAGCAAAAAGTGTCTTATCCTCTACCAGAAGACAAATATATTGTCACAGATTTCAGTTTCTGTCAACCCTCCCACAATCTTTTTTGTTCTTTCACAGTTCTGAAAAATCTTATGCAATCTTTTAAAATTACAGTAGAGTGGGTCAGCCTAATATTTGGGGATTCTGTGTGCCAAGTTGTTTGTGATCTTTTTTATTTGGAGAACTAGCTAAGACTTTAGCTAAAATTCAGCTTTTTCTATCAGGGTTTGAACATGCTGCTATAAATTGAAGGATTCTGCTCCCAAAAATCAATTCTAGGAGAAATTAAGCTGCATAATAAGTGGTTCAAAGAGAGCAGCATGTGCGTTTGTGTGTTTGTGTGCCGGGACAGAGCGGGGGAGTGCGATGATCAAGCTGTGCTTTGGAAGTTTCATTTTAAGTGTAGCCTCCATGTATCTTTGGGGAACGGCATATGGCATGTGCTACAGATGGATAGATAATGATACACGTACAGCTGGATGTCTTTGGCATAGGTGGTCCAGCTTGTATCATGCCAGCTGGCTAGCAGCAGCTAGGTCTGGAGAATGATTTGATTACCCACAGCTGTTGCACAAAGTCAACACAAAGCAGGGAGGGGAAATGTGGAAGATGCTGTGACAAGAGGAAGCCGGAAGGGGATTGCACACTAATCCTCCTTACCTCAACAAGGGGCCCCAAGACTTCACCCACCAACAATACATCTCTCTAGACAGGAGCTTTCTTCCTACACCTATGCCTCATTTTGAATGTGATGCATTTAGGATGAAAGTTAAGATGGGATAAATTTGAACAACTTTCTGAAACAATCCATTGCAGCCAGTTCTGAATAATGCATGAACCAAATTTACAATGCTCTGCCTTCTTCACCCTGTGTGTGGTACAGGGAGCACAGCTGGCTTTTGCTTTGTGCTGTATACCATCCCTAATTGAAACAAAGCCCAAGTAGACACTCCGGCATGCATTCATTCCTTTTCCACTGACCTCTTCCCATTCCTCTATTTAGTTTTTCTTGTGTCTTGTTATTCATTTGCCCGTACACTCACCATCAATGGTCTATGTTTATGCTAGAAACTCCTTAGGGGAGAAATTGATCTTTTGGTTTTGTTACTTTATGCCAGTACAGGTATATTGTAGCTAATGACATATTCTTGGGCATTTCTCCATTAATAAAATGTCTGTACCACAGGCAGAAATAACATCAAAAGAATGAGGATATGTTCCTTCAACACACAAAAAGAAGAGCACTTCAATGTGTTTCTGCAGGCATTTTCTTCAAAACTGACAATATGCAGCTGTGATATGAAAAAAGTCAGGTAATCTTACACAAGTAAACAAAAACATTAAACTTTCTAGAGACCATTTGAAAGCTTTTTTCCAACATGAATCTGGGTATAATTTTTTCTTTCACCAGCAACTTTATGATTTCCATCTACATTGACCATTTAATGCAATTTGAAGCTGTGGTGGACAGACAACAAGCTCTCACAAAAGCACACAAAGGAAAGCCCTTAATGCCCACCAGAGCTCTTCAGTTTGTGTAATCACCATCTGGGCTTCAAACTGGTTCCAGGATTTCTGATGTAATCATATGCACAGCAGAAACACTTTCTTCATTATTGGTGTGAAACTGCATTGCAGTGTAGCTCAGGTCTCAGTGGCTAAATGTATGGGTGAGGTAGACTAATCTCTTTCCCCCCCTTTCTCTTTGTTGTATCATTCATGCATCCTCAGTGATGAATTCTGGCTCCAACCACTGTTCATCTTGCCTATTGTAGGTAGGTTCACATGGCTAGAGTAAGATCCATAAAAGTAGAATGCTACTCTTTCTTAGCAAAAACATTTTATCGTATTATCTATTGCAGATACACTGCTACAGTACAACACTCAATGTTTCTGTTTCTCCAACCATCCTTCATCATCCTTCCAATGTTGATACTTTTTTATACCCCTTCCAGATAGACATAAGACAAGGAAGAAAACATGGGCTTGTTAAATGGACCTTTGTTAAATTTCAAGAGACTTTGAGAACTGAGATATATCAGTATACGGTTAATGTCACCTTCATTTGGAGATGACCAACTTCTTGCTCCAAGATGCATTGTTGATCAAGACCCCCAAGCTGAAGAGACTATCAAGTGTTAAATGAAAGTTTTTTCCCCCTAAAAACCCGTTTAAAAGTTCAGCTAGTTTATTTATTTATTTTATATCACAGTCAGTGTACAAAGTGATATATAAATGCAATAAAAAAGATAATTTGATTCATAACATGAACTAGGTAAACCCTTATGCATTAATGTAGAGCAAGGCCATTCCTCCTCTAACCATTCTAGCTAGCAATTCCCTTAGTTTACCACATGGAGTTCAATCCTGCTCACTAGACAATCAGTCCTCAACTGGCTCCCTTCTCTTTATTTCTCTAATCAGTAGTGAAGGGGAAACCCTGGGAAGTGGTTTACAATGCATAAAGACTCTTGAATATCCTCTCATGTAGTTCTGAGCCTTCCTTGCAGATGCTTGGTTCATGCAGTAAATGGGAGCTGTCATGAAAAGAAACTGAACCATTAACAGGTGTTTTTTTTTCATTTTTGCATTGTTTTATGGTACCAAACCTTAGGTACCAAAATTGGTTGGTTGACACTGGATGCTATGAATCCTGACTACAGTAGGTAGTGACCGTATCTCTCTCCAGGAACCAACCCGGGCTTTTCGACCTTCAGGGGAGGCCCTCCTTTTGCCCCTGCCAGTTTCACAAGCTTGTCTTGTGGGCACAAGGGAGAGAGCCTTCTCTGTGGTTCCCCAACTCTGGCACTCATTACCTGGAGAGATCAGGAAAGCCCCTACCCTAGAAACCCTAGTTGGCACTCCTTTCTAGTATGGTGTGGGTTGCAAAAACAAGGCCAGGAAGGTTCATATGGACTGCCACTTTGTAATCTCTGTTCTGGCATAGACTTCATTTATCCATCAGCTGAAAACAAAGGAGATGGAGGTGCTGATAGTTCTGTGGGAATTTTGATACATTCAGATTCAGTGCAGCTTGGGATAGTTCCTAGACCCTTTCACCACTCTGATCAAGCAGTTCCAGATTTTTTCATTAGGCTGTATTCTTACAACAGAAGGAACGGCTTTCCCATGAAAGCATTAAAGTCTAAGATGAATTCTCCAACAGCTTGGTCATCAAGGCAAAAGCTTTCCTGCATTAAAATGGTGCTGATCTAGGCAGCTGGCACATGTGTCAGTTGTGAAGTTCCATTAAAGAGGGAGCTGGCTGACATCAACACAGGATAATGACTGAGCTGCATGCGTTTCATTTAAAAGTGCATTTATTCAATTATTTTATTTATTCAAAAGAACACATTTGTGAATCAATTGGGAGAAGAGGTTACTTGTCTCATTCCTGTCATATACTTTGGAAAAATAATTATGACCTCACCACCATTACTTATGGGCCTTTCTGTGTGGCTTTGTCAGTAAGTAAAAATGGGAATATGTGGGCAACATATCAAAGAAGTGAAAATCAAAATTTTGTGAGTGCTTAAGGCATAAGACAAAGTACTGCTGAGGAAAACATTAAGTCCCTCACTTGCAAGGAGTGATGTAAAGAAGTTGGCAGACTTGATTTTGATCCTGCTATTCAGTCAGTACTAATTTAATTTGAAGGCCCTGGCAGCAATAATAATCTCTGGTCACAATGAAATTAAGGGCTTACTGGCACAGCTTCAAGTATGAGGTTGATCTTTCACAAAATAATACAGCATAAAGTGGACAAATTCTGGATTCATATTCCTTCACATATTTCATGCCAGATTCAAATGGCAAATGCTGCAATTCTGTGCATAGGATTGCATGGAGAATAAAACCATACTTAAAATGACCTAAATTCAGTTGCTAGTTCCAACAAGAGCAGACAGTAGGGCTGTCCAACCACGGAAAAAATTGTTTCTAAACTCGATTCGTTTTTAGGGGTTTTTTGCGTTTTGTT